TATTCAGTATTCCAACACCACAAGTTGAAGGCATCAATTCTTCTGTCATTCTTGCTCATTGTCAAGGTCTCATCACCATAGCAAGTGAATGAAAATGTCATGGTCTGAGTCAGGCATATCTTAGTTCTCATAGTCCTATGACTACTCCTCAGGATTTTGGAGGGACCTGACAGCTGACTTTTCTAAAGCAATGTGTCTCCTAATATCCTGGCTGTTGAGGGTGAAATTGTTGATTATGGATCCAAGTGAGACGAAATCGTTCACTGTTTCAAGATGGAGCAGTTGTGTCTCTGTCTCTCCCGATGTTGCTTATCAGTCCATGTAGTGAGGACTTCTGTCTTCATGATTAGAAGCCATCCTTGTGGATGGCTGGAGTCTTTGATCCTATGCAGCTCAGATTTAAAATCCTCCTCACTCCCAGTAAGCAAGGTAGTGTAATTATCGTGAGGCAGGTTATTGATGAGTTAGAAGTGTTATGGGGTGAACAAACAAGTGTGTCTTGGAGAGGGTGAAACCATACTGCTCCCTGAAGGCAAGGATTTTGAAGCTCTGTCTCACATACTCCGGACACATCGTCAGGGGGGACCAGTCCTTGGAGAAAGGCATCATGCTTAGAGGGACAGTAGAAGAGAAGACCCAAGATGACATGGATTAACTCAGTGACTGGAGAAATGGGATTAAGTGTGTCAGAAATTAAGAGATTGGCTCAGAGTGAAGCAGTGTTCAAAGCTAATATACATAGGGTCACTATGAGTCACAGGCAACTAAGTAGTACATAACAACAGCAAAATCCCCAGGGAGTTGCACAGCTAACTCTAAAATACAACTTCACTGGTGGTTCTAATCCACTAGCTGCTCACTGGGAGAAAGACTGGCAGTCTCCTCCCTTGTAAAACTAATCAGAGAGTAAGCTATAAGCCAGTTATAATTCAATGACAGGAATCAGTTTTGCGGTTTGGTGTGTGTGTGTGTGTGCTGTGTGTGTGTGAAATAGATCAATACTCGCATAGTAATCAAGAGCTTTAAATGATCCAGAAGAGGAAAATAATGCTGCTGCATGTAGTGGTAGCGGACTGTCTGTTGAAATAATATCTTGGTTTGACATCAAGGACCAATTCAGTGTGGACTTAGCACATTCATCGGCTTTAGAAAGGAGAATAAATAGTTCTTTATGGTTAAGGTGAGTTACTTTGGGGTATAGGGAGAAGCTACTATGGTGGAAATCTGTGAAACTTCTAATTATTTCTCTTCTTCATCTCCTTTGGTGTTTGGTGCCCCCTGTTAATATTTACTTGCTTGAATTATGATTGTAAAGTCTTTTTACTGTGGTAAAAATACATCTAACAAAACATTGACCTTTTAAATCTTTTTATATTTACAATTCAGTGACATTAAGTTCACCATGTACAGCCATAATCACTCTGCATTTCTGATTTTTTTTCTATCATCCCTTAAACAATAAATTCCTCTTACCTTTTCAAACTAAGGATTTTTTTTTTACTTTGATGTACAATCAACACTTATGGAAAGCAGCCAAAAAATCAAGCAATACATTTCATTGAGCAAATCTGCTTCTAAGGACCTCTAAGGTGTATGTTGTGAAAACAGAAGGATAACAGAGCAAAACACATACAGATGTTCAAAAGTGAAGAGGAAGGAAAGTAGAGAGTGCAGAAAAAAGTAGAAGAGGAAAAAATCCCTGAGATCACAGAGCCTGGTGGATTGAGGTGGGTGAAGAAATGGGAAAGGGTCGGGTCAGTGGGGGTTTGAAAAAATGGAATGATAATAAGCATAGATAAATAGTAATAAACTATATAAAATATAAAGGATATGAATGTATAAAATGTACATGAATGAAACACAATATGTATGAATAATTATATGCAAATCAGTAAAATTTTAAAAGGCAGAGAAAATAAAAGAAGTGTTATGGGGTGAGTTGGCAGAACACTAGCTCATTGCAACATTAAGTTCTAATTCCCCATTAGGTTTCTAATTCTTCCTTTTGTTTGTTACGTTCCTGTTTTGTCATGTGACTTTCTCAGTTGAGCTTCAACCTCCATTTTTTATTTTTCTGCTGAGAACAATATAATAAAATTTATGTTTTCCAACACCTTGTCTCCAAAGTTGTTGCTCTGAATCCCCCAGTTTATGCAGATAGAGAGAGGGACATTTTCTTTTCCTCTTGGCCATCAGGACTAGTAGGGCCCTGACAGCTGTCGTTACCTCTTGTAGTTAAATGCCATCAAGTCATAGAGGACTCATAACGACCCTATGAATGAAAGACCTGAACACTTGCATATCTCTTATCATTTATCCATGTTCATAGGGTTTCCCTAGGCAAAATTTTTGGGAAGTGGATGCCACTACTGTTTCTAAGCTTGTTCTAATCAGTGAGCTCAGCGAGACATTGTTCGCCATGGGTGACCATTATCGCCTTTTAAACATCCGTGTCACAGTTTTCAGCTTCACATCAACCATGAGATCCCTCTGCAGAGCTAAGGGACAGAGCAGGGCTATAATACTTACAGGGGAATATTAGAGTAAAACGAATTAAAACCTGAACCGAGGGGCTGGAGATTAAAATCACCCACCTTTGGCTTGGTAGCAATCCCTTTCTGTCGAAGAGGCCAGCTGAGCTCTCTGTATGTTGCTAAATGCCCTGGAGTCACACCACTCAAACCTGTTATGTGCCATCGAGTCACTTGCAACTCATAGCGACCCGATATATAACAGTCCTAAACTCTGTCCTGTGCCAGTCGCACTGCCTCTTACACACATATCCGAATTACCCCAATCACTGAATCAATCCACCTCCTGGAGGGTCTTCCACTCCTGCGCTGTCCTTCCACCCTCCCAAGCATGTTGTCCCTCTCCAAGGACTGGTCCAAAGGATGTCAGATGGAGCCTCAGAATCCTTGCCTCTAAGAGCACCTTGATTTAACCCTCTCCAGGATGAATCTGTTTTCCTAGCAGTCCATGGTATTCTCAATAATCTTCTCCAGCACCATAGCTCAAAGGCATCAATTCTCCCTCTATCCTCCTTGGTCATTGTCCAACTCTCTGATGCATAACAAGTAATTGCAAAGACCATGGCCTGTATCAGGCGCACCTTAGTCTCCAAAGAGACACCATTGCTCTTCAGCACTCTGGAGAGGTCCCTAACAGCAGACTTTCCCAGGCAGATTAGGGAGGGTATTTAAATACGGAGGCCCCTGTTGTCCACCATGTGGGGGCGCGTACGTATGACGTCACTAGACCGCGCCGTAACCTCCTGAGTGATTCCGCCTTGAAAATTCAGACCCTCCCCGGCCGCCGTAGGCAAGGTGTCCCCGCTTTCTGCAAAGCCCTGGGAAAGCAGAGAGGCATGTGTTTTGAATCCATCCTCTGCTTTGTTGTAGTTTTTCCCAGCATTTGTTGAAACCAACTGCTGATCCTGTACGTGTGTGTCCTGGAGAGAGGAGAAGGGTCACTGAAGGTTTGTGAGGTTCCTGGAGGGCAATCAGATGGGAGGGGGTGCTTTGGGGTCAGTTGCGGGGTGGACGCCATTGTTCCGCGGTCAGGGCCATCAAGGCCCGGTGTGGGTCCTGGGATTGTGTTGCTCGCTCAGCTCGTAAGGAACAGAGATGAGAATTACAATGACCGCGGCTTAGGGTCCGGTTGCAGGATGATGTGCTGGGTGCAGTGGCCTCTGGCCGGAGGGATCGCCCCCTCGAGTCAGGAGTCTGTGCCTGTGATATTTTGGGGGACTCGACTTTAGATCCGCTGGACCCAGGAAACCCCTTTTCTTCTTTGATGCAGTAGGTGGCTTTGTCCACTGTTCTCCTATTCCATCAGTGGCTCCCAGAGCGTCCCATCCATGCACTCTTGTTTACCTTTTTCAATATCTCGGTTTGAATTCTGTCTTGCAAAAACTGTGGGTTGTAAATTCTCGCTCTAGTGATGTGGTTGGTTTAGAGTTGTGTTGCCAAACTAAAGGCAGTCAGTTCGAATCCCCCAACTGCTCCACAGGAAGCAATGTCCACCAACCTCCCATGTGACTTACAGCCCCTGAAATTCCGCTGGAGGGGTCATCTAGGAGTCAGTTCTGAACGGATCACCAAGAATCAGAAATAGGTAGTTAGAGAGCTTTGGTGCAGCTCTGGAGGGAATTGTACGGCTAAGGTCATACCTCTGGCATCTGGAATGCAGCACAGGCTCTGTGGTGAATTCTCAATATTCTCCACGCAAAATTAAGCATATTCAGATGCATTCGTGTGCCGAAACTTCTAAGATCATTAATTACAAAGGCCACGTAAGACTGATCCACAACACCGTGTAAAAATAACGTAGAAATGACATCTCATCTCCTTTAACTTCATGAGAAGCACGAATCCTGATTCACTGAACCACAGTCGGCACGGATTATTGCAATTAATGTTCCTTTGAAAACAGTTCATTTCCTGCGGTTTCAATGTATTATTCAATTTGGGGGATATATATTTCAGACTTGGGTTGTGTATTTAATGAATGTGTATGACCTCAGTCTGCTTTGAATCTGATAAAAGTGTTCAGAGAAAGAGAGGAAGACCCTCAAAAGGAGAGATTGGTACAGGGACTGAAGCAGTGGGCTTAAACGTGTCAAAGATGGTGAGGGTGGTGCATTGGAGAGCAATTCACGGGATCACTGTGAGTTGTAGTTAATTCAGCAGCTCCTAACAAGTGTTTCCCAAAGTGATCATACAACTCTGTTGTTTCTCCAGCCGATTTCAGGTTCATGCTTGTCTTGGTTCTTTTGTGAGTATGTATCACTGAGTCCCTGCCCGTCCAGCATGTTTTCAGAGGCAGTAAATTGCCCTGATGGGAAGAGATTGCCCATCTTTCTCCTTGGAGCAGCTGGGAGATTCGACTCCCTGCCTTTGGGTCCGTAGCACAACTCACAACCACTAAGCCATCAGTGCTGTCTTTTAAACATGCTGTGTTTCAAATATGTTTCAAGACCCTGGTATGAAGTTAATCTCCCCAAAGCTTCCTTTCTTTGCCGTTCTTGTTGAGAATCACATTTGACCACAATTTGAACGCTTTTGTATAATGACAAGTAAGGTTAAAACTCCGTTTTTCCCCCCCTTTTGCTTGGGTATCAGATCATTCAGGTGCCAGTTTTAAAAAGATGTCTTTACCTCATAGCTCTGTACTATCAGGACCTGAGGTTTTAGCACCCATGGATGTAAAATATTCCAGGTCGTTCGATAAAGGGACTTTCCGTGGGGTGGAGGTCTTTCTGTTACGATGAGCAATGACTTAAGGTCAGCACAGAGGTGACGTCCCCTTCACATTTATTTTCCTTTCATCTTACAGGTCTTGACACCACAAGAGCCTGAGAAGGAAGGAGAATGAGGTTATAGGATTTGGATATTGTCATCTTCGGGGATATCCTTCCTGGGAGTTTAAATTTCTCCACAACAAACACACCTGATCCAGAAGACAAAGTCACAGAACTTCCTGGGAGCTCGCGATGTCCCCGAAACAAAAGAAAATGGCCAGGGTTCAGGTGATTTTTTTTTTTTTTTGCCACACAAACCCGTGCTTATCGCGGCTTTGTTCATAATAGCAAGAAGTTGGTAACAACCTAAGTGCCTATCAACACACGCATGGATAGAGTTTGTTTTTACTTTTTTTAAGCCATGCTCTTAATTATCCTCAACTCACCAGACACAGAAAATAGCCAACCATTGCCTGCTGGAAGCCTGGCGGATAGTTCTTTAAACTGGTCGCTTGCAGGTTGGAGAGCAGCTGGGGGATCGTTGGTGTGTCAGGAGGTAGGACAGGTGTCAGAGCCACGGAGCAGGAGTCCTGCAGTGTCTTCTGGACACACTGGGCTGCTGAGTGTCCAGGGACTGGATCAAGTGGTAAAGTGGGGGCAGACCACCAGGGGGAGCTACTGCTCATGTCCTGACTCTCTTCTCTGCACCCAACTCTGTGTCCAGAGGGAAGGTGTGTTTCTGCGCAGCAGTCGTGAGGGGCATATGAGCTCAATCTGTAAGGATCACGCTGGAAAAGCCTGTGGACACAGATCCTCAGTCACCTTCCCACTGCTCTGGAGGGCAAGCTGGAGGCTCGGTCTTGCCCTGCCAGCATGAGCTAACCTTTTCAACTCTTGGCTTAGACCCTGGGATTCCTGGGGTCAAGGGAAGGGTTGTATGATAGAAGGAGTCCTACCGGCAAGCTCTGGTGGCCTAGTGGCAAGAAGCTGCACTGCAATCCCAGAGGTGCATGGTTCAAATCCACCAGATGCTCTACTGAAGAAGGAGGGACCATCTCCTGTACCAGTCAGATCTGATTGGACGGTACACACATTAAAAAAAAAAAAAAGAAGGAGTCCTATCTAGCAACCTCCCGACAGCCCCTGAGAAAGAGGCTGGATTGTCAACCCTCCTACTTAGCCAATGAACCAAACTGTTCCTGCTCGAAGCAGGGTTTAGGTGACTTTTGATTTACGTTTTATCTTACTTCCTAATGGATTCACTTGTTCAGATGTTCAAAGATACCTTGTTCTATGTTAGTTCAGTTCATCTGGAAAGTCACACGTTTAGAACAGTCGACCGTGCAGAGAAACAACCTTTAGACTCTTCAACACAAGATGGGCTAAGTGTCCTCCCTAGCGTTGCTGAGCTGCCTTCAATATGGACTGAAGCCCAGTATTAAGAGAACAAAGATTCTCACCACGGGGCTGATTGGCAGCATCAAGAGTGGATGGTGAAAAGATTGAGATTGTCAACACCTTCCGTTTGCTTGGCTTTTACAGTCAACACCTGATAAGGCCACGGTTTTTGCAGTTACTTGCTATGCTTTAGGAAGCTGGACAATGACTAGGGACGATAGAAGGCAAATTGATGCCTTTGAGCTGTGGTGCTGGAGAAGAGTATTGAATGTACTATACGGTGCTACGAGAACGAAGAGATTCATCCTGGAGATTGTGAAGCCTGGATACTCTTTGGAGGCAAGGGTTCTGAAGCTTCATCTGACATACTTAGGACATCTTGCAAGGCGGCATGCTTTGGAAGGCAGAGGGACAGCGCAGGAGAGGATGACCCTCTATGAGGTGGATTGATTCAGTGACTTGGATAATGGGAATAGGTGTGTCAGAGACATTAAGATTAACTCAGGATAGAGCAGGGTTTAGGGCTATTGTGCATAGGGTCGCTATGAGTCACAGGAAACTCAAAGGCATAGAACAATAACAATATTTGTGAGAGAGATAAAATTTTTTTATTTATGTTTTTGTTTATTTTTTTTCTTCTTTCTGATCTTCTCTGTATCGTTCCAATTTTAGTATATGTGCTGCCGAAGCGAGCACAAAAAAAAATTTTTAACCCTCTCATGGCTGGAACCTTTGTGGTCTCATCTCTCTGCGATGGCCTCATCACAGCCCAACTTCTCTACTATTGGAACATAAAGGCTCCTCACAAGCAAAAAAAGGACCAGTAGGGCTCAGAGTCCATTGTTTCCATTCATCCACCCAGCCTCAGGCCCCTCACTGAGCCAAGTTGGCTGTGTGGTTCTTAATTTAAACATCTCTGTGGATTTTTAATTTAAAAAAAAAAATTTTAAAATACCTAAAATAACTATGAGATATCATCTTACCCCATCAACAAATGAATGGATAGAGAAGCTCTGGTATATTCACACAATGGAATACTACGCTGCATTGGAAAACAAGGGACATACAATATTATTAAAAATGGAGGACATTATGCTGAATGAAATATCTCAGTCACAAAAGGACAGATACTGCATGGTGCCACGGTTGTAAAACAGGACTGACCTTGGGCTTGGGGGGAGACTGAGAAAGATGGATTCAATGATGTATACTGCATTGAAACAGATGAGGGTGAAAACTGTTTAAGAGGGATATGTTATTAGATATTTTTGTCATGACAGGAGTCCAGAGTAAAGGGTGTATAGTGAAGTGGACCTGGGGGGAGGGATTGTAAAACAATCAAAGAATTTTTCTTTTACTTTTACAAGAGGGTAGTGTACTAGGGGGCATGTTTGGGAGGGGAGAAAAGTGCAACAATGAATGAATGGGGGAAGAAAATTTTTTTTCGATGCAGCAGTCCATGCTAGGTAAATGAGCAGAGCAACTTCCCTCACATTTCATTCATATCGTCAAAGGGAAAATACCTTATGAAATAGGATCCTTGTGTTGCAGCGGTCACTGACGTTGGACGATGTTACCGTGAGGTTCACCTGGGAGGAGTGGCAGCTCCTGGCCCCTGCTCAGAAAGCCCTGTACCGGGAGGTGATGCTGGAGACCCACAGTCACCTGGCGTCCATTGGTGAGGACACCCTCCTGCTGCCTTTTCATTTCTTAGCTTTTTACAGCATTGGGTTGTCTGTAGGGCTCAGAAGTGATAGATTCTCAGTCTGCTTTAACCTATGAATGTGGGAATATTCTTTCTATTCCTGAAAACTTTGTTGTATGTTTGAATTTTTTTTTCCCACTCAAATAAACGTTTTGCAGTATTCTTCACAAACCAAGGCCTGTTGGGTAAATCTAAGATTTTCCCGTTCCACACGTACAGGGTGTGACATTAGGGGAGCAGATGCCCTCTTCATGTGGGAGCAAGGAGAGCGACCGTGGACTCTGCTGGACAGCAGCCAGGGTGGAAACGCTTCAGGTGAGTGAGGAAAACGTTGTGGGTCGGGAAGACTGTGGAAGACACGTTCCAGTGAGAGAAGGCGTCACATTTGTGAAGTGACTGTGGACTTGTCGAAATAGTGCTGTTCATCCTTCTTCCCTTGTGACTCCTTCTTTTCTTTTCATGAATTTAGAGAAATACAGTCCTCAGTGTCTTCCAAGATAAATACAGACATAGCACTATTTTTGTTTAACCTTTTACCATGATATTTCTGTTCCCGTGGTTTACATTTTGTTATTTTGGGTTCCATAATTTTCTTCTCAGTAGTTCCCAAATCTTTCCCTTCTTCATATGCTTTTGTCTCACTATTGAAAATTCCACCTTCCAGATCTTTCTCAAGGTAAGAATACCTACTCGTATCCATAGTGGCATCTTCCTCCCTGAAGAAAACGATCTAAACCAGCAGTGTGCAACCTCCTCTTTGTTCCCAAGGCAGGAAAAATCTCCATTAGTATTGGCAGCGTCCTCAGTATAAGCTGATTCCAGTGAGCTGAGATAGCACTCCGTGTCCACGCCACACAAATAAACCTGAAGGCTATTGCCCCTCCCACAGCACTAATTCTCCCTGGACTCATTGCCATGGCCACATCTAACTCAATGACGCTATGATTATGGAGTTTATAAGGGAAGTTACAGGGGAGCTCTCGTGGTTTTGTGGACAAGGAACTGCACCACCAACCTAAAGGCAGGGTGTTTGAATCCACTAGCAGCCCCCTATGGGAGAAAGATGGGCAATCTCCAGTCTTCTCCCGTTAGGATTTACTGCTTCTGGAAACCGGCAGAGGGTCAGCAGTTTGTCCGGTCCAACTCAGTGGCACTCACCAACAGATAGCCACAGTTCGGGTTCAGGAACAGGTGGGATCCAGTTTTTCAGTTAGAGTCATCTCTTTTCATATGTTCTCCTACGTGGGCCTTTCTCTGACCCTCAGCCTCTTGTCCTCTGCTGTGCAAGCTTTGTAACCGGTGTTCCAAGGCTCCTGTTCTCCTGCCAAGCGCTTACCCAGGGACGGCCCTATTCAGCCATTAAGCTCAGGTTTGCAGGAGCTTATCACAGGCACCGTGGATCAGAGCTGTCCAGTGGCTCCTCTTAACGAGTCCTCCTATTCCTGTTCTCCCCTTCGTAGTGGCTCCCTGACGACCAGTAGGATAATGAATCTGACAGATCTCCACATTAGCACCATCCATAACTCATTGTCATGGTCCCTCCCTAACGGGTGCTTATTTTCATGGGTACTAAGTGGTCACTCTGGTGGGCCACAGACAACTTCCATGTATATAGTCCTGCATTATCAGGTCATAGTCTTTTTTTAATCACTTGCTCTGCATTTCAGAGCTGGGCAAGGAGTAAGGATGCTAGAAGCAGCATCAATGCCTCTGAGCTGTGGTGTTAAGAGTACTGACTAGCCCACGGAAGGCCTGAAGAAGAAATGAATATGTCTTAGATATGGTGCAGCCAGAGTGCTGTTTGGAGGCAAAAATGATAGAGATTGTTCTCATGTGTGTTGGGCATGTAGCTGAGAGGGGCTGTGCCGTGGAGGGTGACGCCTTACGTGGAAAGGTGGGGAGGTCAGCGAAGGAGAGAAAGACCCTCAACCAGGCGGACTGTCTCAGTGACTGAGGTAATGAGCTCTAGAGAGTCATGAGGGCACAGAATGGACAGGACAAGATGCAGCCCTTTATTTTATTATTATTATT